GTTTGAGTGGCACCAAAGGTTCCATTGCAAAATGTTCTTTTCCGGGGCAAGTGTTTTTTTTCGTGTTCACCTGTGTTCACATTTATTGGTCTTCGTTTACTTTGACATTAATTTCGAACGGAATAAAAGTGGAAAATATAATTGCGGACAAAATCTATTGAATGGTCGCTTTGGCATTTGACAATGGAGAAAAAGAGAGAGAGAACGTAATGAAAAAAAATTGAAAAGAATCTCGTGATTGCGATAAATCGGATTTCTATTCATATCCACAATCGAAATGGGATTTTATATGATTCATTCAAACAAACAATTGAGTTGTTATTTTTTATTCAAGGCTTGACCCGTGAAAACGACCAAATCGTAATAATAAGGCTCATTTCGACGACTGCTCAAGTGGTGTTGCTATTGAATCGCATAAAACAATTATCGGTTCGTAATAATGAAAAAGGCATGCGATTTACGACGCCACCATTTTCATTCCATGAACTTGGCTTGAACACTTTGTTCCCACTTTTTAACTTCTCTGTGCACGTTTTTTCTCTTTGTTGCTGTTTATTTCTGATAAAAATAGCACGAAAATCGCTGCAATTTATATGCATTGAAAATGGGTGAATAAAAATTGCCGTCAACACAGACAAACAAAGAAAAGCTGGCGAAATAGCACTGACTTGATTGAAGCGAAACAGTCGTGACTGGCGCACACCATGACTAACATCGGGTTTTGATATACAATTGCCGTATAATACACCAGCAATAATTGGCACGCGCATACAGCGGAAAGTTTAGCAAACGTACACGCATGAAAAATGACTCGTCCTCAATTATAGGCTTTGCAATATTGTAGGTTTTTTTCACAATGATTTAATAAAAAAAAACACACAGAGCAGTTGGCATCATTTTCAATAAATATCAAAATAAAAAAAATGGTAGAATTTGATGATAGTCGCTAAAATATTTCTATGCAATGCATACCAAACAAAGCATTTATGCTTAACAATTGCGATGTGTTTGTGTGTGTTTTTCGCTCGCTCCGACGATTTTTACCGAATTTCAAAATAATGGGAACCTTTTTAGCGTGTATACAGTGTCAATGTTTCAATTCAATAGATATAGTATTCGCTTAGATTCACTTTTTATACAAGTCAATGTTGGAATAACGATCGAACAGCTGACGAATGTCATATTGGAAATAGGTTTGATTAATGAAGACAATGTGAAATTGAATTTGTTTCATTTTCTGCTTTTCTTCAAACGGCCTGTCATCAGTGTCATTTGATGACTATTATGCGTGTACTGACCATGTCTAACTAAACTAAACTCACTTATATTCATAGAGCATTCAGAAAGCGTGCATTTCATTATTTATCAATTTGGTTTCGTATTATGCTTAACTCGTTACCTACGGGTAATAACTGTTACCGGTACAAATAAATTAAATAAAAACTTTCGTAACTGCCTCCATTGCTGTAGAAAACTACTTAAACTCATAAATTCTTCGATTATTTTCCTCTGTCGATACCGCACCAATTCACTTAAATGGCCTTAGACTCTTTCTGGAACTGTTTTCGTTTTTTTTTCAGCTGCCTTTTTCATATCACTTTCAACGCAGAGAACGCTGTAGAACACCTCCATTTTTATAGATCGGCCGATAAATTATTAAACGCTTCTCGCTCTGGGTAGTATAACTAGTTGAATTATATAGTTTTATGGGTTAGTTCTTTTGCCTTTGCATTTTTGGCTATCTGCGCTTTTACACCTATACGAAGATTGAGAAGAAGAAAGATGGATAAAACGCATTTAGAATATTAATTTGAAGCAAACGTTTCGAATTACATCAATAAAATCAAATAAAAAAAATGCGATTACAACATTGATGAAATCTCTTTCATCCGATATCTTTGCCTATATTTTTAAATCAATGTTTTTAAAAGCGAATTGCTCTTCACTGCAACAAATTTGAAGCACTTTGACCAAGTTAAAATGAAAATTACCTGATGACGGACTATTATGACTGACACCTAGTGCGTCCAATGTTCTTAAAAGTGCACCTAAGCTGGTATCATCTGATTCAATAATACGACTATCAATTTGGATGAGTGCTGCTTTCTCTTTCTTCGTTTGTGTATGCCACACAAGAACTTCGGTGCAATTTTTCGCTTTCGGTTCAATTTCGTTCATTTTCAATCCGATATTTTTCAAAAAGCCATCCTCTTCAAAACCGGCCTTGTACGGCATCGTTGAGTTTGGATTCTTCTCTAGATACTCCAACGAAACGGCGAAGCCAGCCATATCGACGGGCCACATTCGTTGCGACAGCCACGAATCAAAGAAACCAATTACTTTGCCCTTGAAATGAAACAAATAAATGGTTTTTAACATGAAAATGCAATTAAAAAAGAGAGTTATCATTTCGACATGAAAAAAAAACAAACGGTTAAAAAAATGAGATTGCATTAAAAGGATAGACGTAATAATTGAACGGAAACATGTAATAGTTTTTGGTATTCAAAGTCTTACATTTCGTACGACTGGTGCGCTAATGGAATACTGGCCAATTAAACCAACGGGAAACATTGAAACTCGTTTGGTCGATCGAATTTCATCGAACAGCCTTAAATCAAATGTGTTATCATCGTCACCAAAATAGAGTACACCTGGCTTCTTGCCATTTTGCCGGATCCAATTGATTGCAGCTCGTCGATTAGCAACACCTCTCGGCATCGGCTTTTGTGAACGATAGAAATCCGGCATTGGGCTCGATATATGAGTATATGGAATACCTAAACGTCGGATAAATTATTGCACCATTTCATAACCTTTTTTTCTCTCTCTTTTCATTTTAACATTTCGCAAATCGGCTGCAGATTTATGGCATTCACATCGTTGGTAACATACACACAAGAAAAGTCAAACATACAAAAGCATTAGCTTACCGAAACGGTTTAGAAACTCATCCAAATGTTGATTACATGAGTCCGTATCATCGGCCAAAATCCAGTGCAAATGTGGTACGTGCATAAGCGTTTGACCAAGCCGTACAATCTCAGCGAATTGTTCGCGTCGTGGATATGTTGGCGTTACGAAATAGATTATTGGCACGACACTACCAGTGCCAGTGTCATTCGTATCTGTGCCATGTGCCGTGGGATTTTTCGTTGCTGCTATGGTTCGTGTGTCAACGAAATTTTCTTTGCACAGAAACGATGATTCATTTATTGTCACTGACGCAGCTACCGTTCGTTCGTAGTCACCTGAATCGAAAGATTGGAAACAAAAGTGCATTGATAAATTATTCGTAGAGGACGATAGAGAGTGATAGAGACAGATGGATAGAGGGAGAACGAACGCGCAAAATAGCGAACAACAACCAACAAAGTTTACCGAGTCTAATGAATTTTGGAGCAAACAAACG